TTGCAATAAATTGCATTGCAACAGCACCAGCAGCCAGGCACAATGAACCAAGCACAGTACAACGTAATAATACAATAATACAACACAAGAAATACAATTATAAATGGAGTGCAAAGAATTGCACACAATACAAAAGAAACTGGAATGGACAGTGCACAAAGACAACAGTACCGAGGTACTCAGAGGTACTCGGTTCTTTCAAAGAGGAACTTGATTAACAGAAAAGCCCTTTTTATTAAAGAAACTCCATTTTGCTTTCGATATCCATTTATCCCATTCTCTTGAAGGAGTTTATGGCATCGGTACTGCTTTAGTATTTGTTTTAATGGGTTGCAGTCCTGTTGCGTTCGTCGCAGATGTCAAAGACCCCGATTAGATTGCGTGTCCTCATCGTTACACCAGGAGTTCGCCTGTACGGGCTGGAAAACCTCCCCACATCTTGTTCCAGGCCGAAACGTGCAACTTTTAATGAACAATTTAATGAATTCCGTTCCTGAATGTTGTATTAAGGAATTTACGTGTACCACCCTGCCAAGATCCGCCTTCTCCGCTGGCTCAATGCAATTCCGAGTTTCCGTGCAGGAAACATGCGTTCAACCGCAGTCCTGTCATCCTGGTTTACTGGAATAAGTGGCTGGCCTAGCCCTCCTGAGCACGGTTTTTACATGCTGTGCTTCGGAGCTCAGTTTTAATTCTCATCAGCAGCCAGAAACGAAATCGTCCTGATTGCCCACTGTGGGGCCTCACGCAGAATCTCGTGGTTACCTCTGTGGGCTGGCCAGGAGGCCGTCTCTGCAGGTTGAACCGGGTGCTGCTGGATAGCGGCCCTACTTTGGACAGGGCAGTGTTGAGGGTTTGCTTGGGCCGGGGCACCAGCCCCAGATCCCCTATCCTGTAGTGGGGCAGGAGTTTCGGCGCCTTGAGCAAGGGAGAGAGAATCCCAGCCCTGCAGAAGAGAAGACATTCACTTTATTATTCTGACCCTCGTAAATGAAAAGGCTACTCTTGAAACACACTGTGTTTCCACACCAGTGACGTGACTCACTGTCATATGTTTCTCCTCCAACCGTAATGATCTTTATGGAGACGGTGCCCCTTTTGCATCGGAGATGGTACAGTACGTACCTCTCGGGGCCGGTTTTGTATTCGCGGAAGCAGGCCGCGTCCTTTCTGAACTCCTGCAGGGTGGGACCTATCCCCAGCAGGGCGGCGCTATCCATCAGGGTTAAGAGCTTCTGCATCATCTGACTTCGGCGCACGAGGGCGGCGAGCTCTGCATCTGCCTCCTTGCTGGGCGCCTCCTGTAAGCCAAGAGCATTTATCAACCCCAGCTTTCACAGGGAACTTTTGATCCCTCCATACTGATTTATAATGTCCCTAACAGTGTTAAAGGGGCACTACTGTTTTGTCACAGCACAGTGTGTTGGCCATCATTCAACAGTGGCAGGCTTGGGACTTGACAACCTGTTCAAATCAAGTGATTTCCTAGCAAGGCTAATTTTACTTGCCTCCCTTGGAAGCTGATTTACAAGTAAGAGGATAGAGTCAGTGGTTCTCAAACTGTGGTACGCGTACCACTGTACCCGGAGTGCCCTCAGGTGGTACGCCAGATGACCCTGGAAATTTGTTGTGTGCACTGAGAAATTGGGACTGAAAAATATAATAATTAAACTTGTACGTTTTTCATCTGTAATTCACTTAATTGGTTTCAGAAAGCTTGAGACGGGTTTACATAATTTCTGTTTTAATAAAATTAGTTTATGTGTCAAAAATGCAGCCTACGTACTTAGCTACGTCAGTACAGCGCGCGCGAATACTTGAGTGTTCATACTCCTCTGGAGCTTTCAGAGACACAGTTTAATGCCACATCTGCCGACAGAGCGATCAGAAATGAATACTTCGCAAAAACCAAGCATTATGTCAGGGCTGAAAGGAATAGACGCCAAGAGTACCAACGCCAGCTCTGATAGATCACGCACACCTGTTGAGAATGAAGAGGATTATACATCAGCCACCGACACTAGCTCTGCTGCTGAACTTGACGCAGACAGCCCTGCTAGTGTTGGGAAGCGTTGGAAAACGGCTATAAGGTGGTAGGATCCAAATGATCTGTGTGAGTGTGTGCGCGTGTGCACTCATGTTGGTCATTGAGATTGTCTGTGGTTCAGTTGAGAAGATGACTTGTAGGTGGTACTTGGATGCTTAGGTTTGATCAGAGGGGGTACTTGGTCCAAAAGGTTTGAGAACCAATGGGATAGAAAATTACTCTTTTAGTGTTATACCTGAATGACTTTCCAGAGAGTGCAGCTTTGCTCGTTGAATAAACAGATGCGTTCCTTCCTTACCGTTAAGGCCTCCTGGAGGGCATGGGCAGCCTCCTGGAGGATTCCCTGCAGCTGTGCCCTGATCTCCTTCTCA